TGAGGGGACAGGGGGGCTGGGGCATCTATAAGGGCAGATGGGTGCAGGGCAGCCGTAGGGAGGCAAGGGCGTGGGGAGCAGGGGGGTACAGGGGGCTAGAGCCAATGGGGGGCATGGGAGCATGGGAGGTTGGGACAACTGTGGAGGGCAGGAGGGCACAGCAGGGACTAGGACACCCATGGTGGGTAGGGTGAAATAGAGGTCTGGGGCATCCATTGAGGGCAGGGAGTCAGGGGAGTTTGGGGCAGCTGTGGAGGACAGGGGGGCATCAAGGGCAGAGGCCCTCATGGGGGACTGAGGGGGTCAGGGGAGATTGGGGCATTTAGGGGGGCAGGGGGGCACAGAGCACCCTTGGGGAGGCAGAAGGGCGTGGGGGAAAGGGGCACAGGGGGCTGGGGTTGGGCTGGGCCCACAGGGACCAGGGGAGCTCAGGGGGCTGGAGCACCCATGGATGGCAGAGTGAGTCAGGTTGGGGTTGGGGCATCTGGAGGGGGAGGGGGCCATGAGGGGCTGGGGCAGCCCCGGGTGGCAGAAGTACAAAGGGCTGTGACATGAGCTGTCATTGTGGTGACACTGGGGTGCCATTGGGGTGCTCAGGTCTGGGGTGCGCACAGCTGCAGTCCTGCTGGCCATGCCCAGCCTGGCCTGGCTTCTGGCCCTGCTCTCAGTCAACAGTGACACGTTGCTCTGTCACTACCTGTTCGCCGCCTCCAACTGTCTCCAGGTCAGTGGGAACCACCTGAGACTCCACCCATGGGACCTCCAGAGCCACCGCCCCTGGGACCCCCAAAGAGTCCGGAACCCCAAAACCTCTGCCCCTGGGATCCCCAGTGACCACGACCCCTGGGACTCCCAGAGCCCCCTGAACCTCACATCCTTGGGACTTCCAGAGTCCCACACCTATTTGTAGGACACCCAGTGGGCACAGAGAGGTCCTTTGCCATATCCAGGGCACTAATGGGAGATACCCACTATGTATGGGGGCACCTCAACCACTCCATGGTGCCCATGGAGGGCACCCAGTACATATGGGGGTCCCTTTTCCTGTCTGAGATATCAGTGGGGGGCACCTAGTGGGTGTGGGGGGATGCTCATTCTCTTTGAGGTGCCAATGGGATGCACCCAATCTGGATGGTGACCCATTGACGAGTCCAGGGTGCTGCTGGTATCCTCCCAGGCTGTACACACCCTTCCTTGTCCCCCCTGCCCCCTCTCTGCCCAGGGTCCCCTCATCTTCCTGTCCTGTGTGGTGCTGAGCAAGGAGGTGAGAAGGAGCCTCCGCCTGAGCTGTGCCCGCTGCCACCACCCACCTCTGGCCACCAAGGCCACCCTCACCCCTGTGAGTGCTGGGCCACATGGGGGATGCAGGAAGTGAAGGGCAGCCTGTGCCATGGCTATGACATCCTTGTGCCCTTAGCAGGCCTATGGCAGGGACAGCACATACGTGGCAGGGCGACTGTACCCCTCCCCAGGCGGTGGGTCCTCGGGGTCCCTGCACAGCACTGCACGCTCGGGCAAGAGCCACCACAGCTACATCCCCTTTGTGCGACGGTACTGGGCACAGCAGGGGCCAGGGCATGGGTTTTTGTGGTGTCCTGGGCTGGTGTGGCACTGGGATGACAAGATGGGATGGTGGGGTAGCAGGGTGCTGGGGTGGTTGAGTGGTGGGTTTGTCGGGTGGCAGTATGGCATGGGGGTATTGGGGTGGCAGGATGGTGGGTGGTGGGGTGACATGGTTGTGGGGGTGTTGGGATGGCTGTGTGGTGGGTTGTGGGGTGATGTGGTTGTGGGGGTGTTGGGATGGCTGTGTGGTGGGGCAGTGGCATGGGTGCACAGCAGTACAGTGGCAGGGTGGCATGCACATGGAGTGGTGACGTGGCAGGTTGGTCACAGAGTGGAGGGTTGAGGGGGTGTCAGGGTGAAGAGGTGGCAGCGGCAGGTGTCAGGGTGATGGATATCAGGGTGGTGGGTGTCAATGGATATTGAGGTGTTGAATGTCAGTGGGTGGATATTGTGTCAGTGGGTTGGTGTCAGTCAGTGGGTGACAGTGGATGGTAGGTGTTTGGGAGTGGGGATCAGGTGTTGATGAGTATTGTGTCTCCACAGGGAGGACTCAGGTCTGGCAGGCAGCCCAGGGCCAGTACCACTGCCTGAGCCTGGGGGGCTTTTCCTTGATGCCCAGGACCAGCCCGAGGGTACAGTCTCACCCATAGGGCAAGTGCGCCCAGCCTCGGCCCAGGGGGCAGGAGGTGTCTCTGGGCACCCCCTGACCTGTGACTCCCCAGAGCACGACACAGACTCGGACAGTGACTTGTCCCTGGACGACCCGAGTGGATCCTACGGCTCCACACATTCCTCCGACAGCGAGGACGAGGCCCCCTGTGGCTGGGACCCCCTGCCCGGGGCTCCCTCAGGTCCCCCCTGCCCTGGTAACAGCCCCAGGGGGCACCCCGTGGAGATAGGGGACCTTCAGCCTGGCAGGGTGCTGATGGGGAGCACCGAATGGGTTGGGGGAGGTCCCTTGCCTTGTCCAGGACACTGATGGGGGGCACCCGGTGGTTATCGGGGTCCCTTGTCCAGTGTAGAGTGGTGGTAGGGCCATTGAATGGATTTTTGGGGTGGGAGGGGGTCCCTCATCTTGGCTGGGTCATGATGCAGGGGCACACAGTGACAAAGGATCCCTTGTCCAGCCTGGAGTTCTGATAGGCATAGTAGTATAGTGGGTATAAGGGAGAGGGTCCCTTGTCCAGTCTGGTGTTGTGATGGGAGACCCCTAAAAGGTTTGGGGGTTCCTCATGCAGTCAGAGGTGCTGACTGGGGCACACAGGGGGGAAAAATGGCACCTTGTCCAGTTTGGGGTTTGGATGGGACTGACGCAGTGGGATTGGGTGCATCCCTTACACTATGTTCTGGTGGGAGCACCCAGTGAGGACGGGGAGGTTCCCTGGTCCTGCCTGTCCCAGCTTCCTTCCTTCCCCACAGGTGACTCCCTGGTGCCCCTGGGGTGCCCATACTGGCCAGGGGAGTTTGTGACGACAGCGAGCGAGAGCGAGGGACCAGGAGGTAGCGAGGGGCTTCGAGTGCAGCCAGCAGGGGGCCAGGAACATCCCTGGGGTGACCCCCCCCGGCCCAACGGCGAGGCACACCCCAGGGAACCCCTGCTGCTGCCCCTGCCCCACCCCCACAAAGGTACGGGCTGCCATGGCACGGGTGGCACTCCAAATCTGGCCTCCCCACCCATGGGTGATGCTGCTTCTGCAGGGATACTGAAGAAGAAGTGCCTGCCCCCCATCAGTGAGTGGGGCAGTGCCCAGCGCCCTGGGCCGCCCCCACCGCCTCCCGAATGCACGGCTGCCTCCTCGGGCAGCGATGCAGGGGCCCCCCCTGTCCCTCGGCCTCGGCAGAGCCTCCAGGAGCAGCTCAGCGGCCTCACCCCCATTGCTATGAGCATCCGCACAGGCACTGCTGACGAGGACTCCTCTGGCTCTGAGTGAGTGCCCACCACATCTGAGGGGTGCTCACTGGGAGTTCTTTGGGTGCCAGGGTTCCCTCTGGGCACCTGTTGGGTTTGACAGTGCCCTTGGGGTGCCAGGGTTCCCGTTGGGTGGACAAGCAAACACCACTTGTTAGGTACCCTTTGGGTGCTTGTCAGATGCAAGGATGGCTGGGTACCAGGGTGCCAAGGTTCCTGTTGCACTCTCATTTGGTGCCATGGTTTCTCTCAGGTGCCCATTGGGCACAGTTTGGGTCCAACACTGCTTGGTGGCTGCCCATCAGGTGCCACAGTAGTGACTGGACACCCATTGGGTACAACATTACCTGTCGGGTATCCATCAGGTTCCAGGGTTCCCTTTGGGTGTCCACTGGGTGTCAGGGTACCCAACAGGTGCCCTTTGCATGCCCATCAGGCAGGTGCCAGGGTTCCTTCTTGGGTGCTCATTGGGTCCCAGCAGTCCCTTTGAATCCAGTGAATATTGGGTGCCAGGGTGCCCATTTGGTGCCCATCATGTGCAAGGTTGTTTGTTGGGTGTCCATAGGGTGCCAAGGTAACCAACAGGTGACCATTGAGTGCTAGGATTCCTCTGGGGTGCCCATGGGGTGCAAAGGTGGCTGTTGGGTGCCCACTGCTACTACCTACTGGGTGCCCATTGAGTGTTGGGGTACCCACTGAATACTCACTCATTGGATGCCCATTGACTCACACACTCACTGGGCGTTCATCAGGTCTAACTGCACCCACTGCGTGCCAATTGACTGTCCATGGGTGCCCATTGACCACTGGATGGGCATTGTGCATCCATTGACCATTATGTATGCATTCGGTGTCCACTGACTGTCCATGGGGTGCCTCATGACCTCTGCGTGCACACTAGGTGATGCTTGGGTCTAACAGCACCTGTTGGGGGTGTTAACTGTTCAGGAGTGTCCACTGACCACTGGGTGCCCCTTGGGTCTAACAGTGCCCATTGGGTGTTGGAGTGCATGTTGGGTGCCCATTGACTGTCCAAAGGTGCCCATTGACCACTGGCTGCCCACTGGGTGTCAGGGTGCCCACTGGAGCATTCATTGGGTGCTGGGGTGCCCACTGGGTACCCCTGACCACCCATGGATGCCCAGGGCAGAGGTGGCACAGCAGCACTAACCCTACTCTTCTCTCCTCCTCTACCCCCCAGATTTCTGTTTTTTAATTTTCTCCATTAACCCAGGGGGGCTGGGGGCTCCCCCCCAAACCCCACCCCACCATCTCCCCCCAGGGGTTGGTGCTGGGTGCTGGGGGGCACAGAGGGCACCCTGGCACCCACCTCCTCCATCATGCATCTGTCTGTCTTGTTTTTTATTCTCCCGCCATCCTGCACTTTGTATCCATCCCCCACCTCCCCCCATCTGTTCGTCCCCCCCACCAGGAGCGACGAGACCTCGATCTAATGGGGACCCACCCAGCGGGCAGCCCACCCACTGTGCCAGGGACACCAGGACAGGGAGGGCACCAGGATGGTGGGGGCAGGGGGTGGAACACACCAGGACTGGGGGTGCACAAGGATGGGGAGAACATCAGGAAGGAGCAGGGAGCCACAACCCCCCCCTCAGTGCACTTTGTATCCTTGCAGGGATTGGCACCTTGGGGAGATGGCACAGGGTGCCCCTGTTGTCCCCCCATGATCACTCCCAGCCCCTTTGCCCAGCAGAGTGTTTTATTTAAAAAATACATGAAAATACAGAAAAAGGAATTTATAACCAACTTCCCCCATTGTGCCAACTCCCCTTGCCCCCCAAGGTGCCAACCTCTATGAAGGTGCAACCCATCCCATGGTGCCAACTCCCCCAGGTGCGGGGCATGTGGAGGGGGGATCAGATAGGGGTTACAGGGAAGTCTGGGACCCCCCTACCCAGGGGTGAGGCTCAGGTGGGGGAACCCAGGGATGGGTGTTGGGGGGATGAGGGACCCCTGGGTGCTGGGGGATGTGGGGGGTTTCCTACTGCTGATGGGACCTTTTGTAATTAAAGCAAAACTCAATGAGTGCCTTGGCTCATCCCTGGGGAGGCCCCTGGCTGCCACCCCAACCATAGCTGGTCCCTGGGGGCTCCAACTCTGCAACTCTGCCCCGCAACCTGTCAACCCAATGGGTGCCTTGGCTGCTCCCTAGGAGTCCCTGGTGCTGCCTGCCTCCTTCCAAAATCCAGTGGATGCCTCAACTCATCCCTGGGGTGGCCTTGGCTCTGCCCCCCCCAGCCTAGGTACCTTAGCTGGTACCTAGGGGGGGGTCTGGGTGCCCCCAGGGCCTCTGGGTGTATGTGGGTTGGTTTGGGGATGTCACCTCGGGGTGCTGCTCACCGCCGTCTTGCGGGAGGGCCGCAGGCGGGTGGGGGGGGGTCCTGGTTTGCACCCTGAGGCACCAGTTGGGGGGGCTGCCCGTGCTGCCCCTGCACCTGCAAAGGGGAAAGAAGCCACAGGGAAACTGAGGCATGGGGGATGAGGCATCCCCTATGCCCCCCGAACCCCACCCACATCCTTACCTCTGGGGGTGGGGGTCCTCCCACCTGTTGCTGGAGTCCGAGGGGACACCCTGGGGAGGGCAGTGGGTGCCGGGGAACAGCCAGAAGGGACAAGGGTGGTGGTGGTCCTGGTATGGGGCTGGCGGGTGGGGGGGGGGGGGGAGACTGTGCCCCCCCTCACCTTAGCCTGGCCTGGGGAGAGAGGGGGGGTTGGGGTACGGCCCAGGAACCCGCGTGGCCATGGTGTCCCCAGCCCCTTGCCATGACTACCTGCTGTCCCTGCCTGGGGGGGCTCTGACCTGCCCCGGGCACCAGCCCCCTGCCCCTGGGGAGGGCATGGCCGGGGGGGGCCCACACGACTTGGGGGGAGCCCCCTGCCACCCGAGGGTCCCTTTGCTGCTGCTGTGGAATTACGGCTGGGGTGTGCCTGAAAATAGAGCAGGGGACATCACTCAGTGAGTGCCCCCCCCTCCATCCACAGGGCTGGGGGCGGTTCACAATGCCCCTTGGAGATAGGGGGGGCACTCACTGCCCCCATCTAGAATGGGTTTGGGGGGGATCTGGGTGTTCAGCCCGGATGGGACATGGCTACACTGGGACCCCTACCACCGGATCTCACATACCTTGGGGACACTGGTGGCAGCAGAGGCCCCCCGGGGCTTGGCGGGGATGCGGGGGATGGTGGCAGGTCCCCGAGACTCCACGGTGGGCAGGAGCGCCCGCACCGGGCTGTCCTTCACCACGAAGGTCTGGCGGCGGGGGCTGCGGGGTGTGGTGGTGGGTCCCGAGGGGTCTCCGGGAGCGGGAGGGGGCAGGCGACACCCCTCCAACTGTGCCGCCAGGCGCGTGGCCTCCCGCACCATCTCTTCCAGACGGGCCCCGCTCAGGGGACTCCAGCGCGCGTTGCTGCCCCCGTGCTGGCACCCCCCGCCCGGGCTATCCTCATCCTCCTCTTCCTCCTGGCTGCGGATGAGGAGGGGGAGGGGAAATGGCGGTGTCAGCTCCCAGTGCCGCTGCCAAGAAGTAGGAGGAACCCCCCCATACCATCCAGGACCCCATTCATTATGTGACACATCCCCCAGAACCACATCTATGAGGGACACATGTCCACAGGATCCCCAGGACCGTGTTCATGGGGTGACATGTCCCCTAGGAGCCCATCTTTGGGGTGTGATATCCCTTGTGGCCCTCAGGACCCCAGCTATGAGTTGCCACATCCCCCACAACGCCATCCATGGGGTAACATGTCCTCTAGGACGCTGACAATGAGGTGCCCTATCCTCCATGTTCCCGACTATAAGGTGCCCTGTCCCCGCTGTTCCCATCCACGGGGTGCCCTGCCCCACTACCCTCCCGTACCTGTCAGATGGGGACAGCACGCCAAAGTCGAAGCTCTCCTCGGTGACAAATCGAACATCTAGGGGGACACTGGGAGTGAGCCCTGGCCCCTCTCCGCAGGGGGGAAATATGGGGGACATGCAGCACTGGCACTGCCGTACCTCGGTCCTCGGCCATCGCCTCGGGGCACCGGGGCCACCTGCGGGAGCTGGGGTAGTCACCACCGACTCCATCGGGGTTCCCCACTCGTGCCCCTACCCGCCCCCCCGTGTCCCCAACGCCCCGCGGGGGCCTGGTGGCACCGGCCAGCGCGCGGGTGACACGGCCAGTGCCAGGCACCGCCGGGCTCGGTGCCACCGGGTTGGGGACAGGGATGGCTCCGCCGGCGCCAGTAGGCGGGGATGACACCGGCGACCCCCGCCAGGGGAACCCACAGCCCAGCACCCCCAGCCCGGGTGTCCTCAGTGCCACAAGGGGAAGTCCCAGCCCGTCATCCTGATCCGTGTGAGTCCCCAGTGCCACAATGGTGGTTCCCAGCCCCCATCAGGGAACCCCAGCCCAACACTGAGGGGGTGCAACCCCGCTGGGAGGTTGCAGCCCCACACCCACACTCCGATCCCAGGGGACCCCCAGCCCCACATCTTGATCCTCAGGGGGTCCCAGCCCCATGCAAGGGGACTCCATTCCCGTAGCTAGGGGCCCCAGCCCTTCACCCCAATCCCCAGCCCCACACTGAGGGGTCCCAGCCCTGCATCCCGATCCCGAGGGAGTCCCATCTACATTCCTAGGCCTCCCAGCTCCCAGGCGGGGGGTGTCAGCCCCAAACCCCGACCCTAGGGGTTCCATTCCCACTCCTTGGCCTCCCAGCCGCACACTGTGGGGTCTCAGCCCATAATGGAGCGATCCCTCCCCCACACCTGGGGAATCCCTCAGCCACGCACTCCCAGCCCAGGAGACCCCAGTCCCACATTGGGGGGTCCCAACTCCAGACTAAGAGGGCTCCAGCCCCCACGAGTCCCAGCCCCGCACCCCAATCCCTTCGTGACCCCAGCCCCACACTGAGACGGTCCCACCCCCCACCGGGGGTTCAGGCCCCATAACCTCAGCCCTGGGGGTCCTCAGCCCCCACCAGGGGGTCCCAGCCCCTCACCCCGACCCCACGTCTCCCCATCTCCGCATAGGGTTGTTTACCCGGCGCTCAGCGGCCCACCCGATCTCCCCGCGGGTTTTCCCTCTACCCGGGGGTCTCGGTCTGCCCTCGTCCCCCCTCTCCCCCACCACCTCACCGCCCCCGGCTCCCGCTCGTCGCGCGCGCCAAGGAGGCGTGGCCTAACGAAAGGGCGTGGTCTCATTCGAATTCCCCCTCCCCTTGCGGCTCAATCGCGGCGCGCCCGCCCCGGGTTCCGATTGGCTCGCGCCCTTTGAACCTCCACTCTGATTGGTCAGTCTCCTCGCCTTTCGCCTCACTGATTGGCTCTTCCCCTGCCCTACGCCCCGCCCTCATCAGTTGGGGGTGTGGCCCGGAAGCGCGGCGCCTGAGGGTCGTTCCGCCGTCGGTGCCTCCGCAGCATGGCCGCCGTCCCGCCGGACTCCTGGCAGCCGCCCACCGTTTCCATGGAGACCACGTAAGGGGCGGGGCTTCGCCCCGGTACCGGTACCGGCACGGGAGGCCCTGCCCACCCCTTGTCCCGCCCCCTTCCGCGGCACCGGCGGTAAATCGGTGTCCGCTCCCTCTCCCTCCGGCTTCCATGCAGCCCCAGTGTTCTTGCTCCCGGTACGGGGCAGTCCCCGGTGTTCGTGATCCCCCGGTATGAGGCAGACCTTGAACTCCACAGGTGCTAAGAAGCTCACAGTGTCTCCAGAACGGGACAGCTCCGTTATCCCCCAGTATGAACCAGTCCTGGTTTCCGCCCCGTTACTAGAGGGCCTCTGGTTCCCCCGGTGTCCCCCATGGTGTTCATAACCCCCAGACCCCTCGGTACCAGGCAGATCCCAGTGATCCCGTGGTATCCCGTTTGCCCCGGTGTCTCCCAATACCGTGCAGAACCAGCCGGTCCTGGTTGTTTCCCCTGGTACCAAGAGCCATCCATGTCCTCCTGGGGTCCCATTGCCCCCCATCCCCTCTCACCCCGTGGTCCCTGTCCCTGGCTGACCCTGGGGGATGGGGGGGAGGGGAGTGGGGGGTCACGTTGAGGTGTTTCCTGGTACCCTTCCTGTTCCCATTCCCATTCCCTATATTCCTATTTCCCATTCCCTGGATGGGCCTGCTCGGTGCTAGAGCTATACTAATAGCACAGCCCCCTGACTTTGGTCTGAAACTGGGGTTGGGGGTCACAGTGGGATGACCCTGCCCTGCAGCTGCAAGAATTGACCCTATAGGTGGAGGAGGTCACAGCAGGGTGACCCCCCAATCTCCTGTTCCCATTCCTGGTTCTGTTCCCCACTCCCAGTGTTGTTCCTGTTCCTGGTTTTCCCATTTCCAGGATAGGCTCTCCAGTGCTGGAGCTGTACTGACAGACAAAGCCCCTAGCTTTGGTCTGAAACTGGGTGTGGGAGTCACAGTGTGATGACTCTCTCTCCCATTCCTGCTGTTCCCATTCACAGAATGAGCCCGCTGGTGCTGGAGCTGCACTGGCAACACAGCCCCTGGCTTTGGTCTGGAGCTGGGGATGTGGGTATCACTTTGGGATGACCCCATTTCCTTTTCCCATTCCCAGTACTGTTCCCCATTTCTGATGCCTTTCCCATTCCCATTCCCTGTGTTCCCATCCCAGGATGGGCCCACTTGTACTGGAACTGTACTGGCAACACGCCCCCCGCACCTGCAAGAACTTTGCTGAGCTGAGCCGCCGTGGGTACTACAACGGCACCAAGTTCCACCGCATCATCAAGGACTTCATGGTGCAGGGAGGGGACCCCACGGGTACTGGTGAGCGCAGGCCTCTGAAATCTCCCTGGGACCTTCCCTGATGCCAGGGGTTCCTGCTGACCCCTGAATCCCTCTGCAGGCCGTGGTGGCGCCTCCATCTACGGGAAACAGTTTGAGGATGAGCTACACCCTGACCTGAAATTCACTGGTGAGTGGGGCCAGCACTGGAAGAACACTGGAGGGGCATCCCTGGGACCCCAGGACCCCACCTATAGAGGGGCAGGACCCCTGAGAACACACCTGTGGGATGGGATGGGATGTCCCCTGTGTCCTTGTCCACGGAGTGACATGACTTCCAGGACTCCAGTCATGGGGTGGAATGTCTCAAGGAGACTGGTCATGGAGTATGTCCTCCAAGACCCTGGCCATGAGGTGACATGTCTCCCCTGTCCCCCAAGATCCCATCTATAGTGTGACAAGTCCTCTGTGTCCCCAGAACCCCATCCGTGGAGTGACGTGACCCCGAGGACCTTTGCCCTGTCCTCTATTTCCCCATTCCTGGTGTGACGTGTCCTTGTGTCCCACAGACACCAGGATCCTGGCGATGGCCAACATGGGGCTGGACACTAACAAGAGCCAATTCTTCCTCATGTTCCCCTAGGACCTCTCCATTGGATGACATTTTCCCCATGACACCAGAACCTCAGCCAGGGGATGACATGACCCTGAGACCCCATCTTTAGGGTGGCATGTCCTCCATGTCCCCCAGGACCCCATCTCTGGCGTGGCATGTCCTCCAAGACCCTGGTCATAGCATGGCATGTCCCTCAGGTTGCCAGGACCCTTGGCCCATGTCCCGCAGGCACTGGGATCCTGGTGATGGCCAGTATAGGGCTGGACAGCAATGAGAGCCAGTTGTTACTGATGTCCACTAAGACCCCTCTGTCAGGTGACAGGTTCTCCAGGAGCCTGTCCATGGAGTGACATGTCCCAAGGATCGCAGCCATAGGATAACGCCCTCCAGGATCCCAGTCTTGGAGTGACATGTTTCCCATGATACCGGGATCCTGGCCATGAGATGACATCCCCCCATGGGATGACATGTCCCCCGTCATGCTGGAACCTAGGCTGTGGGGTGGCATGTCCCCTGTATCCCCATCCATGAGGTGACATGTCCCTATGTCTCACAGGTGCTGGGATCCTGGCAATGGCCAATGCAGGGCCGGACACCAATGGAAGCCAATTTTTCCTGACACTGGGCCCGGCACAGTGGCTGGATGGGAAACACAGCATTTTCGGGAGGGTATGCCAAGGAATGGGAGTGCTGGGGCGCCTAGCCATGGTGGAGACCAACTCCCAGGACCGACCCCTTGACGATGTAAAGGTCATCAAGGCGTATCCATCAGGATAGGGATGTGGGGTGCCCTCCCGCCAGATTGTACTGCTCGTTTGTAATAAAGGATGTTGGATGTGGTGGGCTCCCCTATAGAGTGGTGGGTTTAGGGGGAGGTGGGAGAAGTGTCTTTGGCATAGTGGGGTCTGGGAGGTTGTGAGCCCCACCCAAAAGGGTTTGTGGGTGCCCTTGGAGGGGTGGGTGTCTCTCCTTGAGGACGTGGAGCTCCCAGTGGCCCGAGTTCCTGGGTGTGCAAAGTGAATGCCAGAGACCGAAACTTACCCCTACTGTGTTGTGTCTGTGTGTCCTCAAAGTTTCCTGGGACTGCCCAGAGTGTCCTTCCAGAGTGGGCTCCCCACACAGCACTGGGGACCTTCAAACTGGCAATGGGGTCCTCATGCCAGCACATACTGGGTTCCGCCCCCCACTGGGCACTAGGTAACCCCCCTCCCCCAGCAATGGGTATCCCCTCTGGCTCTCGATGTCACCCTCCTTGCTCCTAGTGCAGGACCTGGGACAGTACTGGGAGCTGCTGGATGTTACCAGAATGGTGCAGGGGAGATACTGGGAGCTACTGGGGGATAGCAGAGGACTGGGGGACTCTGCATCTGCAGTTGTTGGGGCTGTGGGGTACTGGGAAGGTTCTGATTAAGGGAAGTAGGGAGATTGGGGCTTCATTCTGGGGAGTGGGTGGTATCGAGAGTGTCACTATGGCACAGGGGGGCGCACTGGGAGTGTCAGGGGGGTGCTGGGGTTACTGGGGAGGGAGCACTGGGGGTCTGGTCTGGGGGTGATCCCGGGGGCGGTACCAATGGTCCGTGATGTACCGGGGTCTGGAGGCAGCCTCGGGGGTAATCCCAGGGCAGTAGCGGTGGTCTCGGGGCGATCCCGCGGCTGATCCTTGATACCCGCGTCCGGGGTCACTGGGGATGAGGAGGCGGTACTGGGGACGGTGCGGGAAAAGGCACCGGACTTCCTCGGACTGATGCCGGGGATCTGAGAGCTATCCTGGGGACAGTACCGGTGGTCCGAGGCTGTACCGGGAGTGGTGAGGTGGCCTCGCGGGCGATGCGGGGGAGATGCCGGTGGTCAGGGGAGGTACAAGGGATTTGGTGTTGATCCCGGAGCGATCCTGGGAATCTGAGGGGGATCCCGGGGACAGTACCGGGCTTCCAGCGGGGAACCGGGCTGTGGAGGCGGCCCTGGGGTTGATACGGGGGCCATCCCGGAGATCTAGGGGCGTTTCCGAGGCGGAGCCGGAGGGGTCCCGCGGGCCCGGGAGGTACCAAGGATTTGGAAGCAGGCCTGGAGGCGGTGCGAGGGTAGATCCCAGGAATCTGGGGGTGATTCCGAAAATTTCGGGGCGATCCCAGGGGCAGTATCGAGGGTCCGTGATGGTACCGGGGAAGGGGAGGCGGCCCCAGGGGCGATCGCGGAGGCGGTACCGGGGATCTGGGGACGATCCCGGGGGCGGTCCCGAGCCGGTCCCGGTCTCCCCGCTGGCGATCGCAAAGAAGACCCCGGGGCACTCCCTCGGTGCGCGGCCGGGGCCGGGGCCAGGAGCCCCGGGCGGTGCCAAGGGCGGTCCCGGTCTCCCGGCGGGTGGTCCCCAAGAAGACTCCGGGGCACTCCCTCGGTGCGGGGCCGGAGCCGGTGCCGGGAGCCCCGGGCGGTGCCAAGGGCGGTCCCGGGGCGGAGCCGATCGCGATCGCGGTGCTGGTGCCGGTGTCGGGGCAGCGACGGAGCCCGGGGCATGGCGGGCCTGGGCGCCTCGGAACCGGGCACCGGCCCCGGTCCCGTCCCGGCCACTCGCGTGGAACTCACGGTGTCCTGCAGGTAGCGGGGCTGCGGCGGGAGCCGGCACCGGGCGGCGGGGGCGCTGGGAGGCGCTGGTGCTGGCATTGGAAGG